AAAAAAGAAGAAAAGAAGGAAATCATGATTATTAATCAAAAATGAAAGAAAAAACAGGGCTATTAAGAAAGAAAAAAATCTTGATTATTAATGGAAAAAAAGAAGGAACGAAAGAAAGAAAAAGAAGGAAAGAAAGAAAAATGAAGGAAAGAAAGAAATCTTTAATAAAAATATAAGTAAAAATATAATGAAGAAATAAATTCTCTTTGTATTATCAGGAATTCTCACTGCTAAAAACAGTTCGAACATTGAGACTCACAATATATTATTGGTACGGAAAATCAATGAGTAGAGATATATAATAATAATAATAATAATAATAATAATAATAATAGGGAAAGAAGGCAAGAAAGAATTAATAATCGGCCGAAGAGGTTATAAAAAAATAATGCAGCAAAAATTAAGATTGGCCACGAAGATGCTGCGGTTTTCATAGATATTGGAAAGTCTGTTGGAGATTTGGGGAGACACAGTTTCTCCTTCCCCAAGGATAGCCACCAAACATCTGTTATGAACATGCAAATAATAATAATAATAATAATAATAATAAATATTATAATAAATAAAGTTGTAAAAATCGTGCAGAGTCAACTTTTTTGGGTTCTCCTTCAGTAAGAGATTTCATGTATTTTTGTAGAAACATTTATACACACACGCCGGATAATTTGTAAAAAAAAAGAATGTTCACACATTTTGAAAATAAATGAATAAATTAAAAAGATGTGAAACCAGAACAAAAGAAATGAAAGATCCACAATAATTTTGAAAGTATAATATGGGAAAAATAGAAAATATTCCATGACAAGGTTCGGTAATTTACACAACAGGTTTAAGAAGTTTAAAAGGCAAAATTCCAACAAGCAATTAACAAACATCTAATAGCAACATTATTTAAACTGGAAAAGATTTTAACTTCAATGTTCATAATCGGTAAAAATGGACAAACTATAATAATAATAATAATAATAATAATAATAATAATAATAATAATAATAAAGAAAAGAAAGAAAGAAAGAAAATACAAACAAAAAAAAGCACAATATGGCAGCGTCACATTTTGGCGAACTTCCGGATTAATGATGGAAAAGGAAACAGTCGATACTGCACCTAGTATCACAACGCCACGTGCGCCGCAAGTTAAACTTTCACTTTTACTTTCACTTTCACTTTCATATATATATGGATATATATATATATATATATATATATATATATATATATATATATATATATATATATATTTTATTTTCAGGACAGTGTTTTTCACAAATGTTAAGGTAGAATGACATTTCTGAACGTAATGCCTCCTGTATAATTCTTTTCTTTTCTGTTATTAATTCTTTTATTATTTAACATTTGTCTTTCATCTCGTATCGCGGATCATAAAAGAAGAGAAAGACATTCAGGTTTATTTTGCACGAATTGTACATGCGAGTACCGTGCAAGCATGTAAATATCATCTGTGACAGACGTATTTAGCGAAGGTCTATGTAGTATGCATAAAAGTCACTCCGTTTATATATATATATATATATATATATATATATATATATATATATATAGGTGTTTGTGTGTGTTTTTGAAGTTTATATATATATTATATATATAAGAATGGAAATCAGTCTGCTTACGTGCGTGTATATATAAATTTGTATTTATATACATATATTTGTCCTATTTATATAAATATATGTATATATATCTATGTGTGTTTTGCATATTAGATTACATATATATATATATATATATATATATAAATTCACAGACATATTCTCTTTTTGTATTGTCTGTTTGATATTTCTCTGCATATATATTGTGTTATTCTCTCTTTTAAACATCCATACTCACCCCCACATATATAATAGTTTATGTCTGATTTTACAAGTATGAAAAATGAGTATGTTTTACATGTTTTCATTTTTTGACCAGTTTCTCGATGCAGTTCTTTTATTGATATTTACTAAGCTCCACGTATCTTAGTACAACACAAATTGAATAATTCTCTCTAGGAAGATTGTATAACGCCAAACTTCCACGTGAAAAAGGGGCCTGCCTGTCTTGAAAATCAACCTTCGAAATATTGACATATTTTTTTTACCTGGACCGGAACCCGGGCCACTGGCGCCGTTAGAACATATACAACTACCTCAACCACCGAGCAGGCCTGATACAGTTCTTTCTTTAGAGCTTAACGGTTTTCTTTCGGCCGCCTTTTTTGCACATCGTACACAGAAGCATATGGATTGCCTTTCGGAATTCTTCGTTAAAAATTGTATATATCACAGGGTTCAGTCCTGAATTGACGTAACCAAGCCAGACAATAAAGAGTTCCACAAAGATTGGAACTCGCGAACAGGTGTTGCAGAACGGTAAGATCAGATACATGAGGAAGAATGGTAACCAGCAGATAATGAACGTTACCATGACGATTCCCAAGATACGGGTCGCCTTGCGTTCCTTGGAGAGAGAGATCTTTTGTTTCTTGTCAAAGAACGATTTCATTTTCTTTCCCTTGCTAGTTGCATGTTTCTCTTTCTCTTTCTCTTTTTCCTTGTCTTTTTCTTCTTTTGAAAGTTTACTGTGAGTTCCACCATTCTGAGTTGTCACGCATACGTCCTTACCGAAATTCTTAGTATCAGCGCTCCCTCCATGAGTCTCAGAATTCAGCTCAATGTCGTCGTTGGATTTCTCGTCGTGGGCTGGTGTTGGAGGGGTGTCTTTATCCTTAGCCGGTGTCGACTCGGGACTGTTCTCTTTCTTCTCTGCCTTGTTATACGGCATCGTCTTTAATTTACCAATCGCAGTCTGTTCCCGCTTCTTTCTCAAGCGTCTTCTGATGGCCAGGAAAATTTTGAAGTAGATGAAAGTCATTAGTATTAGGGGAATGTAGAACGAACCACAGGCGGAATAGACGACATAGCTGCGGTCGTCTGTCAAATGACACTGCATTTTCACCTGGTCATAAAGCTGGCCGCTCTCATTCCATCCAAACACGGGAGGTATTGACACCACGGCGCTGGTAAACCATACTGCTGCAATCATTAAGCCGACACGTGTCGGGGTTCGTTTCTGGGCATAGTTCAGCGGGTCGTGTATGGCCCAGTACCGGTCGACAGCAATCGCGCACAGATTCAAAATGGATGACGTACAAAGCAGAACGTCCAGTGTCAACCAGATCTCGCAAAGAAGCCAGCCGTAGATCCAATATTCGACCACTAGGTTGGACACGTGAAACGGCATGACCAGAGCCGCTACAGACAAGTCTGAGACAGCCAAAGAGACGATGAAAAAATTCTGTACGCTTCGCAATGGTTTATAAAGAATTACTGAAAGAATAACCAGGACATTGCCGAAGACACACCCGATGACCATCAGAGCTAGAAAAGCAGCAATTATAATGTTTGTCCCGTTTGGAATGGTAAACATAATCGTCATGTTTGGCGAAGTCTTGTTATCGTCTGCAATGTCTTGGCTAGAATTCAATGTATTAGTCACTAAGTCTTCGGCAGCGGGAAAACCGCTTGCTGTCACTGTTATATCCATCTTTGATTTCTGACTGTTTTTTTAGCCTTTTCGTTTCGGCCTTTATTTATGTAAAGCTATCACTTCCAGTATAAATAACCGAATATATATATATATATATAAATATATATATTTAAATGTACATATTCTGTCGATTTATTCCAATGAAAAACTAGATGAAATTACTGATACAATCGTAGAAAATGAAGAAGAAATATTTATCTTTCAATTTTGATGTGTTATAAGATCATTCTCATTTTTGCATGGTGATGATGATTTTTTGAGTATTCTGATTCAATAGCACGTTTTCAAATAAGAGAATATTTTAATCGAATTCGGATTTTAAAAAAATCAAGAAGAATCTAAATATTAATCATAGTTTTTGTGTCGTTATTGTTTCATTTTGATGTCAAATATTTGGATATCGTATAGATTTAAAATGGCGTCCTTGTCCGTGAAGTGAATTTTAATTATAATAAGCGTTTGGCGTTAAATTGTTTATTGACTTTGAATTATAAAATATCATGTGAAAAAGTTTAAATTATGAATTAAATTTCGTTTTATTCTTTTTTAAAATCATTTAAATGAAATAACAACTGTTGGATTTTAATTAAATTTACTTAAAAATTGTTTTAATTTCAGACAACATAACATGAACCGATATTGTAAAATTTGTGTATGTGTGTATTTGAGTTTGTGTGTGTTTGTATGCATACAAGTTTAGGGAGAGAGAGAAATAGAGAAAAAGAGAAATAGAGAAAGAGAGAGAGAGAGAGAGAGAGAGAGAGAGAGCTGAGGGAAGGATGAAGGAAAGGGATGGAATGAGAAGAGGAGAAAGGCTGACGGAAGACTGGGTAAATGAAGAGGGAGAGTGAGATAGAGAGGACAGAGAAAAAGAGAGAGAGAGTTAAGAGAAGGATGGATGGAAAAGAGAAAGTGGGTAATAGGAGGAGGATAAACACCGACGGAGGACTGGGTAAAGGAAGAGGGAGGTTGAGATAGCAAAAACAGAGAGAAGAGAGAGAAAGAGAATGATTGAGGAAGATGGAATAGGGGAAGGAAAATGGCGGCAGAGATAAAAAGAGAGAATGAGATTACGAGAAAGAGAGTGGGTGAGAGATAGCGGAAAGGAGGAGAAAGGGCTGAGGGTGAGCAAATATGAAAAGGAAAATAGAGAGTGAACGACGAAAAGATAGATAAATAGAGAGAGAGAGAGAGAGAGAGAGAGAGAGAGAGAGAGAGAGAGACAACGTTGGATAGGAAGAGTGGCCGTTGGGAAGAGTAGTTATTCGAAAATATCGAATTGATTATACGCCTAAAAAGTCCTTTTTTAATTCTCCCTTATTACTGAATAAAATTTAAAAAAAAAAAAGAATAATTTCTGCTGAACTGTCCGATTGATTTTACTTGAAAATCGATAGATGGAATTACTGCCGAGTGTAACCATACGGATTTGTGTTTATCGCCTCGGAAGCCATCTTAATGATCTTCACTTAACAAAACAGATTCTTAACGAAATAAACAGTTTGATATATCCCATCAACGACGGTTGTCGTTCTTGAAAGTTAAAAAAACAAAACAAACTATTTTAATGTACAAACAGAATAATCCGAATAAAGAGAAAGAAGAGACAGATGAAGAACCCACAATTCTTAGCATTTACTTTACAAACAGAATTGTCTATTTTCTTTATAGGAACAATTAAAATCAAAGAATAGTATTTAATAATCTTTTATTTCTTTGTGTATTTTGTTCAAAATAGTTTCCTTATTAACAAGTGCAACGCTTTCAATGGCGTACGATGTTTACTAAATTTAGTTTCATATTCTTCAAGGACAGAATAAAGCCAAGAAGAGAACAAACCGATTCACATTAATCTTAAAATCAGTGACTTTTGGCGGGTTTTTGAAACAAATTCAAATATTTTAATACTTGAGTCATTTAAAAGCAATAACTCAAGTTTGGTATCGTCAATTTTTACGAATAACCTTTTTGCTTCTTTATTTGACAGAGTATCGAGTTGATGATGATAATAATAATAATCATAATAAAAGGAGTAGCGATTTACTAAGCGTAGTCCAGAAATATGGGGCACCCAGTGAGGATCGAACTCGATATTCAGTCGTAATTCATCTAGAGAGACTAGTTACACCACGTCGAAGTGCTCCATACTATAAGAAATAGAAACGGCAATTTTCTTTTAATCAATTCACTGCAAGCAAGGCGATAATGTCACTAAGACGCAAGGGGCTACTGGGAGTGAAAGAGAATGAGAAGACTTTGGGAGAATGAGCCGGATACCCAGTCCTAAACAGGAAACAAGGGATAAACTTCTAGTCGTGTCTAAAAACGGGGATGCGTTTGATAGGCAAGCCTATATACTCCTATATTTGTTTAAAATATATAAAAAAAACAAATTTAGCTAAAAGATATTTTTAATGATTATATACAAATTGAAAACGAAATGTTGTCACATTTAGGTCGTATAAAACTGAAACCTTCCTGATAATAATAAACACTGAGAAGCATGTAATTTACTCTAGAACTTCGTTGCACAACTAGAAAATCCAGGGAAAATTGTACTACACTAACGAATGAGTTCTGGGATAAACTGAAATACAGTGGGAATAAGAAATATCTTTTATATCTACCTTTTAAATTTACTACGTATCAACGCGAAAGGTTAAATTAGAGTTAATTAATATAATTTTAATAAGTCACCTGGATTTTGTTTAAGTGAATATATGATTTTTTGAAGTTTTATTTACTTATATTTTATTTTGTTTATATTATTTATATTTTAGAATTTTTCTGGTTTTATTTTTTCATTTTTCTTTTTTAAACTTTCTCTGCGCGTTTTTAATTGTCGCTTTTTAAATTTTCGAATTAAAACATTTTAATTTGAAATCTTTAACTTTTTAATTTTCAAATATTCAGCTTTTAAAGTTCATTTTTTAAATTTTCATTTTTTAATTTTAAAGTTTAAAAAGTTCAAAGAAAAAATCTTTTTAATTGCTTTAATCTTAACTCTTTAAGTTGAGGAATTTTAAATATTTGAACAGGTAAATTTAAAATTTTAGTTTTTTGAAATGCAAATTTTATTCTTTAAATTTAGTAAATTTTAATTTTTCAATTTTTCGTTAAGTTTGATATATTTAGTCGGAAAGTTTGATATCTTAGATTTTTAAATTATAAAATTTTGCATTTTAAATTTTGATTTTAAAAAAATGATTTTTGATATTTAACGTTTGTTGGAAATTTTTGAATTTTTCATTTTTCTATGTAAATTAAATTAAATTAAATTATTTTCTGCGGTTTTATTAAAAATGATTTTATTATTATTTTGTAAAAATAAATTTTAGTAATTTTCGTTGATAAAACAAAACTTGTTTGGTCAATGTACAATTAAATAAATAAACGAAAATTAATTTCATAAGAAATAATTTTTTGTATTGTGTCAATTTCAGGGGGAGCAATAGAAGGAAAGAACTATAAATAAACTTTATGTGAGTGACTTAGTTTGCAACGGCATTTCTAAACAGAGAAATATCCGGTGATAATTTTTTTTATAAATCAGTTAATAAAAACTTTATAAATCATTTGATTTAATTATCGGTAAACAACGATAAAATAGCAAGGTACACTGTGTGAAAGGACCCAAGAAATGATCTCTACGAATAATATTTATCTTAGGGTTATTTCCTCTTTTATTACGAGATTTCTAGCGATTCGAGAAAAACTATTTTTACTTAAGGAGTTACCTCCCCTGGAAGACGATTTTTATCACGGATTAGACAAGACTTGTGGTGATAGAAGAACTTTAGTTGAATAAAATTATTACTGTTCCGTTTTATTCAAAAGGGTAATAACTTAATACACACATACAGAGGAGAAAATTTTCTTTGCTTTTTTTTCCGAATTCGCAGGCCAGTGGAGAAAATAAACAAGTTTAAACAACTGGATGTTCTACACAAATACGGGTATCCATTAAAAATAACGTTTTTGGTGATAGAAATAAATTTATATATGTATATTGATTAATTGTATGTAGATATGATTGTATTAAGCTTTCATATTTAGCTTTTCAAATTTGTTATGAGTATTAGTTTGAAATATATAGATAAATATTACTTAATAATAAATAAATCTAGGTTTTTATTCGATTAAATTATTCTCTGCGAACATAATTCTTTTGATGTAGGCGATAGTACACGATTGTTTTAAACAGTTTAAGATTTTGACCAGAATTCAGATTGCTAAATTTTTATGCAAGAATTCGAACTCCATTTACTTAAAAGGTCAGTTTATGTTTTTTTTAATGTTTTTTTTAATGTTTGCTTATAATAAATAGAAAAAAAGAAATATTAATATAATAAAAATTATAGAATTGGTAGAATTCTTGAATACAGTCTAAAATAACGTATTTATTAATTGTTTTGTTGAATCTTATATTTTCCTTTTTCTTTATTTTATTTTATTATTTGGTTGAGTCCCACTTGAGTCAGTCGTGGATTTCTCCAAGATTTAGTCAAAATTGATTACAGTTATTTATAAAAAGAATTGGTTATAAAAAAAGCATTATTTGTTTACCTCGTTCATATAAATGTATATTTTTTTTTGTATCTGTGTCAGTCATCGCAGGTTATTTTAAAAAAAAATGTGCTTGTTGCTACCTTTTGAAAAAATTCCAGCAGATCAGTTTCGTTTATTTTACTGTTTGGCTTCTCCACTCTTTCATTAAAATATGAACAATTTTAATGTCTTTTCAGAAAATGAAAAAAAAAAATGTTTACATTCACACACAAACTGAAGGAAAGATACTATTGACTTAGAATGATAATTTTGCTCAAATAGGTGGCGTTTTTGTTTTCATAGAAATATTTTCATAATTAAAAGGTTAAAAAAAAACGGATCGATATTATCACTGATTGGTTTTGTGCCGTAGCGTTTTGATTAAGAAATAAATTGAAAAAAACAGTGTGCATAGAGCGGGAATATTTGAAAGAAAACTATAGAAACTGCCGTGTTGTTTTCCAGTGACAAAATGAAGACAATTTCAAATTCAGACGACAATTGTTGTGCTTTAAATGTACAGTTTCATTTCGTTTTGTGGTTAGTTTTTTGTACAATTTTTTTTTTATATCCGTTTTTATGTTTTTACCATTTTCTCGTCTTTAATTTCTTGGAATTGTTTTCCAAATATATTCATTTTTTTATATCTTTGTAACTCTTCGGGTTTCTTCGTAACTCTTCGGGTGTCTTCGTAACTTTTTTCCTAACTTACCCAAATTATTCGTATTTTGGTACTGTTCATCGTAATTTCATTTTTATATTCTTATGTAGTTTCTACCTTTTGTTTCCTTTTGTAAATAAGATTTTTGACAATCCATTTTGTTTCATTTGAAAAATATTTGGAAAAGTAGATTAATTTTTCTTGACGCCATATATTTATTCTTATTCATTGGAGTTTCCGAAAATATATTTTGACTCGTCTGTCTCTTTGATATATCAATCGATCTGTCAATAAAAATAAAGAAAAATTCTCAAATCGAGATGTTCATGTGTTATCTTCTTACAAATGCTTCTTTCAAGAAAATATTTTTTTAGGCTTGCTAAAAATAATCATTGGTATCTTTAATGGAATATTTTTATGTCATATTGAAATTTTCTTCGACAAGGCATGGCTTGATTTCCTTTATGGATGTCGACGAATTACACACAAACATATATTAAAATTATTTTAAAAAAGGACCAGATCTCTTTATTCGAACGCTACATCAATTTTTGACTTTTGTATTATCGTTATCTCGAGGATGTCGATCGGCATCACTTTATGAAGCGAAGGGCACGGTTCTGTTTTTCGAAAAGCAGCATTTCTGATATGCGATAGACGAAACTCGGAATTAGATCCATTTTTTCAAGGAAGCTTTGTCTCTGGAAAAGATATTCCAAACCTGAAATTAAAAAAAAAAAATTTAAATGTCAATAAAATAAATAACGAAAGTCGAATAATAAAAGCTTATTTTATAAAGAAAGAAACAGTTACATATGTTAAGAAAAAGAATCAGGCCACCAGAATAAACAAACCAAGACTAGAATAGAAAGATCACAAGAAGAAAGCAAATACAGGATGTGTGGACAAATGGATGAGACAGTAAACCACATACTCGGTGAATGTCCCTAGTTGACAGAGAAAGTGTGTAAAAGTTACTAAGTGTTAGACAATAAAAGCCACTAAGATGCAAGGGATTAGTGAGTGTTAGAGAATATGAGAAAAACTAATATTAATGAGAGAGGGCAATAAAAAACTGGAATTAAGAAGACAGAAGATAACGATTGATATTGCATTTCAATTTTTGAAGATCAAAGGCAATAAAGCCACTAGGATTCAAGGGGTTACTGAGTGTTAGAGAATATGAGAAAAACTACTATTAATGAGAGAGGACAATAAAAAAGAACTGGAATTAAGAAGACAAGT